TGTGTGGCTGGGGGGTCAGGACAGCGCCCAGCGTGGAGGCCGTGTGTGGCTGGGGGGTCAGGACAGCGCCCAGCGTGGAGGCCGTGTGTGGCTGGCAAGTGTACTGGGAGTCAGGACAGTGTCCGGCAGGGAGTGTGAACATGTGGGTGTCTGTTCACTGGGAAGAGGGACTGAACGTTCTCAGCAGAAAAGCACACCGTCCTGGGCTGGCCCGGCGCCCACCTACCAGGTACAGGTACTTGCAGGTCTCGCTGAGGAAGAAGCTCTCCATCCGGTCCTCTTTGGACTTGTCAATGACGTGGTGCAGCGTGGCGTACCCACACCTACAAAACAGGTGTCCCTCAGTCCTGGCTGCACACCCAGGAGACACCCACCTCGCAGACAGGAGTGCTGACATCTAAGGACTAACCACCTTTGGCGTCAAATATTTGCAAACATACTGAAAAAGCAGACTGGGGCTAAATCTTCAGACTAGTGCATGGTGGGATCTGTCAAAGGCACCCCACACCAAGGAAACAGCTAAAAAGCACAAGTCTGATTTAAACTTCAGTCCCACAGTTTCTAGAACTGACTTGTCACTGGGCATCCTAAAACCACATTTCATAAGAAAAAGCTATGCTAGAGAGGTAGGTGGGAAAGCAGAAAAAAACAACTACAGTAGCACGTGTAAATTACGTCACTGTTGTCAAGTCACACCCGACTCCTAAGAGAGCCGCCCGCAGGTGTCCCGTGAAAGTGCACGGCAAGGAGTCTGCCCACCCTCTCCCTCGAGTGGCTCGTGGATTCAAATCATGTGTCTTTGTGATTGCAGCAAAGCTTCCTACCACTAGGCCACCAGCGCTCCTTGATAAATTGTATCGAATTTTTATATTAATGTCAGGACAGAGTGCAGGTGGAGGACTTAGAACTTTATGTATACATACTTGAACACTGTGGTTACCTTTGCACATGGAGTTTAAAATAGCACAATTCTCACTCTGTCCTGTGTTTTTATACAAACAGCATGTATGTTACATGCTTTTAATCACCTGCTCTACAGAACTATGGTATCTGACTTACTAACTTCTGAGCATTACACAAGGGCATGTATTCAGGAGGGTGCACTATTTGAGCAAATGTGCTATTTCCTACACACTCTGAATTCTGTGGAGCATCTCTTGCAGGACTAGGGGAAGAAGGTATTTCGTCTCCTGGAATCTTACAGAATACGCGGAGTGGAGAATAAGCAGCAGATCTCCCTCCCGGGGAGGTTTTACTGAACCAGACAGTAGCTGATTTGCATATGAAACACCGTGAGTGGCCCACTGTGTAAATGAAGCTACAGCAGACATTCTCTCCCCAGAAGCACCCCACAAACCAGAAGGAAGGACCGCGAGAACCCACTTGACTTTGGTGTGCTTTTCCAGACTCTGCAGGATGTCCATGCCGACGTGGAGGTAGAAGGGGTTCTTGGTGGCCTGGACAGAAGGACAGTGAACATGAGAGGGGCAAGCAGCAGCCACCAGCCACGCCTGCAGGACGGTCCCACAGTGAGGAGGACACAGGAGTCCACGCCAAGGCAGGACCGGCCACTCCACCCGAACTGGTGAGGCGGGGCTGGGCGTTCCAGTCCCTGTCAGCACAGACCCGTTAACTTAATGTGGACAGGGCTGAATCCCCCCTTCACAGCTGAACCCCACTGGACCTGGGCTCCCCAGGCGAAGCCCCCTTGGGAGCCTCATGTCAGAGAGCAAGCCCAGCTTCCTCTGGTCTTGGAGTGCCAGCCCTGCCCTGCTCTGCTCACAGCCCCAGGTGATAGCAGCCGGGCATGCCAAGGGGCAGGACGCCCCAGAGTCTCCCTCCAGTCCTGAGAGACCAGGCCATGGGCTCCATGGTGCAGCACTTGTAGATGGGTCAGTAGGGAAACACCATCCAGGAAGGAGAGCTTTTACTCCATCCTCTGTAACTCATGTTCTGAGCCAATTTAAAAAGAAAGCAAACCTCAGCCTCCTGGGGCCTCCTACCCTCAGCCTTGTGAGATCTCCTGGGGGGGACCTTCTGGGGGTACTTCCAGTTCACAGGCTCCTGAAACCTCCTGGGGGGCCTCCTGCCCCCAGCCTGTGATTCCTCCTGGGGGGTCTCCTGCCCCCAGTCTGATTCCTCCTGGGGGGGGGTCTCCTGCCCCCAGCCTGATTCCTCCTGGGGGGGTCTCCTGCCCCCAGCCTGTGAGGTCTCCTGGGGGGTCTCCTGCCCCCAGCCTGTGAGGTCTCCTGGGGGGTCTCCTGCCCCCAGCCTGT